GATAATAAATTGTAACTAAGAATAACAATAACTTATATAATATTTACAGTTAACTATGAATAAAGGAAGAGCTAACGATTCAAAAATGATTAATACAACCTTCCTAAAACGCAACATAATTAGACTATACATCAGCATTTGATTTGCAAAACTTAACAGTCAGATCAAAAACTTTGACCTGACCTGGCCTGTCATCCATATCGACCACTGTAACAACGGATCAGGTCAGACTAAAATTACAAAATGTGACTTGACAGATGCTTTTCAAACAATAGACCAGTCCGACAGCTCTAATCCTATCAGTATATAAAATTTAGAAATTTTCATTCAAGTTATCTTCCCGATCGTATCCGTTTTACTGCCACTACTATTGATGAGCATAAAATGAATATGTCATACCAGCATCAAGAAATCTTGTAAATGCCTGTTGATTATCAATATTAACGCTAACATTATTCAAATAACATTTATCATAAAGATTAATAGAAATTTGTAAATATTTTCTAATTAGCTGTTTGCGTTTTTGATGACAATTTGTATTATTCATCAAGATGATATTGTATTTAAACCTGAAAATTCAAATTTTTAATAGAAATACATATGAAGGAAAAACAATAATGACGAACCATTATTCATTTTTATGTGCTATAGAAAATTCAGCTATTCGACTGTTTTAAAAATCTGTTTTATTATCATTATAATGTTTAACAGCCTCTTCTTAATCGATATTGTCATCTTGATCTAGATGAAAATTTTCAAAGTCAAAACAATTGTGGTTGTGTTGCATCATTAGATGATTTTCTGAAACGACAGATGAACGTTATCTTACAGGAAACAATATATATAATAAGAAAATCTTACTTATTTGAACCGCTCAGTAGTCGATTAAATATTTGACAGTAAATTCAGATAAAAACCACCTCAACCAGAAAGATATGGTGAACCCGCAGTTGGATCAAAATGAGACAGTAATTGATCACGACTCCAGTTGGGTAACAAAACAAGACAAATTTTATTAACAGAAAATGAAAAACATTAGTTTTTACTAATCATGTCGAACACATTTCTTTTGTGATAGACTCATATCATATCTAGCAGGACTTCGACTGTATGTTGATGGAAAATCATGTCATAGTGATGGATCACTAGGATATTCTCATCGAAATTGCGTTGATCGGTTCCCAAAAACAAAAACAAGATGACATATTCAAATATTTTTAGATAACAAAATAAAATATAACTAAACTGCAAATAACAATCAAGACATGTTGTTCTTCATAATCTTATGATTTACTGTCATTGATAATGAAATATAATTCATCGAAGAAAAATTATTTATCTTACCTTTTATCATTCCATTCCTCTCTATCACAATCATTATTGCCTTGATTTCCATTAAAACCATCATTACTATCACCTTTTCTAATTTTAAAAACAACCAATTTCCTTTTTCTGATCAAAGAAAAAGATGAAAACTTCATTGTGTGTGCTCATTGTTTTGGTTTAATTCTTTCTCTTCCAATCATATATATATATGTTACGGTCAAAATTCAAATTCAGTCAAATTTAAAATTTGACCAGTCAAAATTCAAATTTGAATTTTGACTGGGCAAAATTCAAATTTCAACTGAGAAAATAATATTTTTTTTTATGAATAAAATAAGATTAAAACAACAGATATTTAAAGTAACAATATTTTTATTTTAACAAAATTGAGTAAGCAACATGATAATATTCCTACAAAAATCTAATCAGTCCATGT